TGTGCGTTTTTCTAGTGTGTGTTTGGAGTGGAGTATAAATATTTTTCTTCCTTTGTATTTTGGGGATAAAACTCTTATTTTTCACTTTTCCTCTTTGGGAAATTAGTTTATGTTTTATTTTTGCTCTCTAGATTAGGAGCTTATGCTATTTTCCTGGAGATTTTCCGGCGACTTCGGTTTCGTTCAAGTTTCGAGCTTTTGACTCCGTTTTTCATCGTCTACGCAATGGGAGATTGAGTATTTAATTTTAAAGCTCTTTACTTCGTTTTTGCTCCGGTTTTACTTATAATGTTCATTAGAGTAAATTGGATTTGATTGATGATGGTGGAAATGCTTGAACTTGATTGCTTGCTTGAGTAGATAGAGTCGTTAATTACTTGTTGATCTGGGTTAGACGACTAGGGTTAGCAATCTAATGCTCGTAGCTCGTTTATTCCGTATGTCGATTGATTATCATTCCGTATTGGTTATGGCATGAGACTCCGGTGATCTAGTTTGCGAAATGCTCGTCTTTTGATCTTGCTTTCAATTAATTGCTCGTTTTTAAGTGCTCACGTAGTGTTAATCAACCATCCAATCAATTTTTTAGAATGTTTAGGATTTTATTTTCCACTTTTTGTGATTTGGACGATCATCTAGTAGACAAAGCTCCGAATAGCCTTCCTTCGAGATCGACCCGAGTCGGGTAGCTCGGTTATCCCTTGCCCATCAATACTACTGAACACCTTACATGTGGAATTTTCGCCGGAAATTGTAGGAGGTGAACGAGGACGAGAATAGCTTCAATAAGATACAAAAAATTTCAATAGGAGGTGGGCGACCGACGTCCACAGTTCACAGTGGAAGTTCACCGACCCGACCTCCGGCGAGCGCGAGCTTTACTCCGCGACCGTCCTCCGGCGAGCCTTGCTCCCTCACAGTGGAAGTTCACTGACCCGACCTCCGGCGAGCACGATATTTACTCCACGACCGATCTCCGACGAGCCTTGCTCTCTCTTCACTGCTCATTTTTTTTATTTATTTGGTTTTAAATTTTCACTATTTTTATTTCCACCTAATCTTGAATGTAGACGTGGATAGTTTGAACTTGAATCAATATTTTTTAGTCCTGCCACCTAATCCAGAATCACGCCACGTTAGATTTAGTCACGCCACGTCAAATTTTAATCCCTGGATCAGATACAATAGGACTAAAAATGATGAAATGGACAAGTTATAGGACCAAGTTTGAAAGTGGTCAATATAGAGGTGGTTTTTTGGACTATGGCCAAGTTATAGGACTAAAAATGAAATTTTGCCTTCAATTCATGTAGATTAAACATTATTTCATTGATTGACATGTGTTCATATTTAATTAATGTTGAAAGTTGAGCATTGAAGATGCTCTTAACCAAGTCAGTTAACAAAGTTTATTGACAAAAGTGAGGTGTACGGATAAGATTAAATATAAATTAGCGGCCAGGATTTAAAGATGGGCATTTGGGTTACCCTAATTTTATTTTCCTCACTAATATGTGAGTTTCTCAGGGATGGTGGCAATGCATCCTGAGTTCATGATCAAGGTTTGTGCCATATTTTTCCAAGCAGATATTAAAAATAAATATTGTTTATAAGTCTTCTTCATTTTCTTGTTCTTGTTATCATGGAAGATGAAAACTTTGTCTCTACATATTTAGGTAATTCTTCTTTCAATTTTTTTTTTAATTTTTTTTTAATTTTTTCTACAGACCCCAAATTGTATTACACATTTTTTTCTTAAGTAATGGGTGAATTTTTTGTATATCACTATGAGAACCGAGCACGGATGACGTTTTGATTGTGAACTCACAAAATGAAAATTTCGAAGAAAGTGCAAATGCTCGGGATAATGAAACTGGAATGGATGATTCCTAAGGTTATAATGCAATTTTCTAATGAAAAGGAAGTTTATGACTTTTATATGCGATACGCGTATGCTACGGGTTTTCCTGTGAGAAAAAAAAATGATGATTTGTTGGCATTGGAACCCGCATTTAAATTCACGGAATTGTTCTGTCCCTTGTTTGTTCTCGATTGGTGATATTGAAATATTTTTGCCTTGTGTTCAATCATTGTAATCGTGTTATGATATACACTTGTGGTATGTCTTGATTGATTGTTGATGTTAATGTATTGTATTGGGATGTATTCTTGTGCGTCGCTCCCTTCGAAAAAATAATAATAAATTGTGAGTTTGCGAGGAAGTACAAATTAGGCTCCTCTTATTTCGATTCACTTCTTGGAATGAGATAATGAGCCCGAGAAACCGGTCTAGGAAACTCGAGGAAATCCCTCGAGGTTCAACCTAGATAATCATCGTCCGGAAACCTCGTTTGGAAAAAGAAGCTCACGGAAAAAAATGAATAAAAATGAGTTCATGAGAGTTGAAAAGATTAGACTTCGCTTGACCCGGTTAGTCTCTTTCGTGATAAATCGGAGGCAATAAGTACGAGAAACAGGCCTAGGAGATTCGGGGACAAACTCCGAAGATAAACCTAGGTAATAATATCCTAACAACTCTCATTTGATAAAATTACTCATATATATATATATA